ATGCATTATCCCAGGTCCCTTACTTTCATTACCCAACCTATATTACAGCCTGGGCTTATCTAATATTAGTATCACCTAATCTTGATTAATAATCTTACCTAATTTTACTCTATGATTGAAATACATAATGCAGATGACACTGTCTGTCTAATATATGCAAAAAGCAATTTTATTGTTTGGGGCTAAATTGTTCCTTTTGAAGCAAGTCCTCCTTATTAAAATCCAATCCGAAGCATTATCTCAGTGCCCGTATGGTTAAATATGTATAAAATAAAGAAGCCCCACTCACACTAAACTGCAATCACCAATTACCATTACAGCACTGCAGCAGATGTGAGTCCGTAGCAACATGTCGATACCTGTTTGCCAAATATAGGTCCTGTAGCGTCCATTACAAACAGCAGATTTCTTCCTAACCATCAAATGCTGCATGCCGGACGAAATACGACTCATCCCTCATAACTGCATGAGCCTGCTATAAACCAAGGAAGAGTGAAATCATTTAGAAACTTTCAAATGAAGAAATCTCTTTGATAGGAAGAGGTCCAGGGAGGGTAGTCTCCTTCCAAATTATACCTCAGATCAAAAGCCAGTTCATAATTTGTTAGTAATAAGTGTGTCAAATTCTTGATTGAATTTCAGCCACAGCAAGTTCAAGGCCCTGTAGATGTTTGCAGCTTATTGGCCAATGTGTTCACACACTGACACACAAATATAAACACACACACATACATACATACATACATACATACATACAGAATGTATTCCTTTCGCCCTGTATCTCATGCCAATGACCAATATTAATGATAACAGATATCTGAGCAAAGCCTTTCTGTTCCTCTGGCCATGTTTATGGGGCCTTTAGCACTTGATACATCAATTCACTAAATGTAGAAACATGCATTTCATTGTTAGAAGGATAGATGTCCATAGTTGTGAAAATGTATGGTATGTCAACCCTACACCGAACATTTACACAGGGTGACCACTTGGTCCATCCCCAACCTGTAAGCGGACTGCTCCCCAGAGAAGAGTCCTACGAGGGTGGTGTCACCTGCAAACGTCAGGAGCCTGACGGACTGGTGACTGGAGGTGCAGCTGTTGGTGTACAGAGAGAGGAGCAGAAGGGAAAGAAAGCAGCCCTGGGGGAACCGTTGCTGATGCAGAGAGAGCCTGAGACATGTTTCACCAGCTTCACGTGCTGCTTCCTGTAAGACAGGAAGTCTGTGATCTAAATGCAAAGGATCGACTGGCAAGGCAAGGGGAAGGAAGCCGCACAAGATACTGGTCACGGTAAGTAGGGGAATTACAAGCAGATATCTCAAAACATGGAGCCACAAAATCAAAAGTATCTGCACAGCTCTTGGTCGTTGATGAACTGACCCTTAACCTATATCTTTAAACACTACTTCTTCTCAAAATGACGCGCTTTGTGGCCAAAACGTCAATAGGTTTTGACAGCTGTGCAGAATATGTAACCCTTGCCTGCTTCCCCCTAATACATTACCAAGTTGCAGTCATTTGTGGTCTACACTGCTAATAGCATCCCCTTAAATGAGCTCCCATTTCCTCATCTCATCTGAGCCCAGCATGACCCACAGATATGCCCTCGTAAATTCCCCCCATCTGGCTCCTTTTAAGTCTATGTCAGACGGTCCATAATCGCTCTGTCAAAATGGCATCCCGTCACCACCGCTTGTTATGAGGCAGCATAGAGTTAGGAGACATACCAGAGTCTGAGGAGTCTAGCAAGCCTGCCAGCCCCCTAGATGTAACATGAGGAAATGAGTTTGTGTCAGGACTATTTTAGAGTTGCTTTGAAGTCTTATTTTGCCCTCTTTGCCTTCAGGGGAAGAGCACAGAAAGGAAGGGGGAGGGGTGTACAATGTTGTGAAAACTGCCAAAATGCCCTGATAACCCATGAGGCACTGCTGTCTTGATCTAACGGAAGCACATAGGTCAAAGCACGTAGAAATACATATGTATGTATGCCACTCTGTCACAGACTGCACAGACTTTTTTGTGTAATGATTTGTCTTTTTATGTGAGCTGTGTTCCCCTCAGCATGTCCTTAGGAGAGAGTTTGATTATCCCGAGGCCTTTATCAATCTGTTATTTATGTTCATTGACTGTATTTTGTACTCTACTAAACTAAATGTTTTCATCAAATGTAATCATTTTGTAGATTTAAGCACAGATAAGTGCTTTGTGTATATGTGTAGAGCTGTAGGAATAATTGCAGCATATGGAAACATTTTCAGTACAGAATTGCTGATAAGTTGCGCTGCAGTTGCAGGAATCTAAAAAGAGTTTGTAGAAATTAAACAGACACATCACAACCCCACTACAGAAAAAGACATTGTTATCATCATATTGTACAAATTCATAGATCAATAGCGAGTAGAGGGTCCGTCGATATTACCCAGGAGCGACGGGCTCCTCAGCGGAGAGAAGGGGGAGGGGGACGTTCCTCAGGCGGACCAAACAATGATTTTTATTCACTCACAGGCAAACACAAATGTGTACACACGCTAGGGAAAACCTCACAATTGCTTCACACACTGAGGTGTAATGCATTAAAAAGAAAAAAGTCCATTACTGGTCAGTCAACAGAACCTTGACCTTGAACACAATTTTTGGGAGGCATTGAAAGGGCCCGTCTTGTTCCAACGCTCCCCGTTTACCACTTCATCATCCGCAAAAAAACGCAAGAAACTGCAGAGCAATAATGTCAACGCCGTGCAAATCCACACATCCACACACACAACCACATGTACACACAGATTCTTCAGTGAAGATGGTGGATGCCTCCCACCCCCTGTTGCGTCCAGAGCGATGTTCCTGGAGTGGGGACAGCAAAAGGGCTTCCCGCAGTGCTGTTTGAGCGTCCTTGCTAGCGCCAGACGACTTCACTCTCCCTGCCCTGGCAGGGGGCGATAATCACATCAAGCTCCCCTGACAAGAGGCATTGAATTCAGCTCCGGTCCCCTTAAGAGTCTGGCATCCAACAGTCTCTCCTGAACATGCTATTGACGTTACAATGAGAAGGTTTGTATTTCCATTTCTTCCCTCCGTGGAATCGCTCTTTCATTTTTCCTCTTTTTTATTTTGCTGCTGCCGCCGCCTTCATGGTGTGTTTGGCAACAAGTTGAGATTCCATGTCACTCGGGGGTGAAAGCTGAATTAGCGGAATCGAGCATTACCGCCATTGCCCAGTGAAAAGTGTTTTGGTATTACTGCCTTGTGTTTGTAATGATGTTTGTCATTCTGTCTTGAAGAATCATTTTGAAAAGTTTTTGTAGAAATTACTTTTTCATGTTTGTCATTTGGAATTTCTTTAGATTTGTCTCCTGCGATACAGAATTGTTTGATTGCAATATGATTGCAATGGTCACAGTCAGTGATGGTTGAACACTTACACAGTACAACTATGTGAAAATACACTAAAGCTCTATCCCATGGGGGCGGTGGTTGGGAAAAAAGGATGCTATCACTTTAAGAGGTCCCAAACCATGCATGTCATTTTTTTCCGGCTCCTTTTTTCAGTTGTCAGCTTTTCTTTTTCCATACTCATGCTTCCATGTAATGGTTTTGAATGTGAATGCCGATGGGTACCCCAAAGCACAGTCTGCGCTCTCCTTGTGGGAGATGTTTATTTTTTGGGAATACCCAATGTTTGTTCAATCTGCCATTTTTTTTAGAAATGACGCCCGCTTATCAAAATTTTAAATAAAAAGGACTAAGCAGGGGTATCCTTTTTTTCTCCTGCAATCCACCAAAACAGATGAGAACCACACTGGACTGTTTTAAGCAGCTTTGTGGGCCTGCAGAGCTCATCTGCTACCCAGGGAGCCGGGCGTCCAGCAGTTACACCCCATTCATCACCTGCTTTCAATGGCCACCACCAAGCCGCCTCCGGCTAGAAGGCCAGGTAGGGTGCCGGGTGCTGCACAATGTTTGGGGGATTAGCGATCAAAGGAGAGCGGAGGCTAGTGCCCTCCATCCCGGCCCGCTATTCACTCCTAGCAGAGGAGGAGACTTCCAACAGTGGCCAAGGTCAACGTCTCCAGCTCGGCGGGAGGTAACTGGGAAAGAACCCTGGGAACCAACCGCCTGCTCTTCGCTAATCATGGGCTAGCAGGCTAACCGCACAGCAGGTGTCTTGCCCGCCAAACATTCAACTGTTTGTGCTGCCGATGGTTGACAACAAGATAATGGCGTGCTTTTACTTTCCTCTCATTTCCCTCCTCTTTTCTCATTTTTTTCCCATCTTTTGTTGATCTCTTTTGCTCTGTTCTGGCCCTGTTCTGTGGGATTTGGTTGTCTCTCTTTGAACTAATTTGTATGTGGAGCAAGCAGAATGATAATCGGGTACAATAGACTTCTTAGTTTAGCAGAAATTGGCAACGGATTTTCATAGGAAGGATGTGGGTGCAAAACGTTGGGCTGAAACGATAAAGGCAATTTCAGGACACAACGTTCCTCTTAAGTTACCATGATCGTAAACACAAAGGCCCTTTGTGAAAATATTTATTTTTCATTTGCAAGATTTTTGGCATTGGCATACACCGTTGGATAAGCAAGTTTGAAATCCCTCTTTGTATTTGCTGTCGCCATCCTGAATCACATCTGACGGAACAGCGAGTACGGCCATCGTTTAAGCTGATTTGGCGTCCTGTGGTGCGAGACATTGAGCTGAGAAACCCTGATGGGACAGCTGGTTGTAGACGCACAGATTGTGCCGCTCGGTGTCCAATACGTTCTTCGAGATCGCAAACTGGCAGTTTGGCTTAGCCCGCTGGGAATCGACAGGGGGGAAGCGAGCAGGGAGGTAACGATGGTATAAAAATGTATCGTTGTCGCGTTCCAGTCGGAAGCACGAAAGCAACCTCCCCGCAACTCCACCCTCTCACAAACACACCCCTGTCGGGATATTGGCAAGTTGTCATGGCGACAGGGATGTTCTCCTGATGAAGTCTCGCTCAGCGCTGTCCAATCAGATCGTGGAGCTACTACCGCAGCGTGAACAGGGGAGGACGCACCTATTCCAGTTGCACAATGCTGAGAAAGGACAGGCGAAAAACTGGACCACCAACGGGAAATTGGCAATCCGGGGGAGGCTGTCAATGGGCTGCCATGGTTCGACAATACACAAACAGCGGGGGTTGTGGATACAGGGGCTGCCAGGTAGGGGGTCTGCATCAAGTCTAAAGCTGTTAGAGCCGCGATTCTTTGCCGCTATCAATACAAAGTATAAATGAATTGTTTATTTTCGCTGTTGGCATGAAGTTGTGGAACATTGCATATAATGTGGCTTATGTGTTGTTTTGGGATGTTGTCGTAGCTATCGAACAGCTTCACGTGCACTTTAGGAAATTATCAAATCACTCCTGCAGGTGGTTCTTACAAAGGTGCCACAGTCGCAAGAACCATAACAAAAAGCAAATGGAAATGATGCGGAAAAGGGGGAAATGTCATGTAGCATTAACTTAACTTGAATTTTGTATTCGCTTCACTGCGGAATGTGTACCAGGAGTGGGAGAGGCTAATATACAGAAACTGCAGGTAGCAAAGTGAACGTTAGACTCTCCCAGTGTAAGCTCTATTCAGGCCCTTTATTTCAAAACAAGGGGAGGATATTTCTTTTGCTGACCAAAGGAAAAGCGGAGGCTGTTTGTAGCTCAATGAAAGACGGAGGGCTTGGCGGGGGCGCGCTGTGTTTTTTTTTTCCAGACACTGCAGGTAGCCATTATGGTCATCGCTCTCTTAAGCTTATTACTTCAGCCCATTGAATTGTAGCTATCTAAAACAAATGTGTTTTTTTTCAACTGTTGGCCTGTTCATGAAATTATCAAGATTTGCAGATAATACTTTTATTATATATATATATATATATATGTTAAATACCAGACCTCTACTTACCCCTCCCTCCAGTCCCTCTATCACAGGGTCTCAGTGGGACGCCATTTGTCAGACTGACCCCCAATAGAGGTAGTGTCTTGCTCTTCAAACTTGAGATTCAAATGTAGGTTGTCAGCATAGCAAAACCACCTTTATTAGCTCCTGGCTGGATACCAACAGGATTTTCTCTCTTTACATTTTTTCTTTAGTTGGACATTCTTGCCAGTGTTGAATCCACAGTGAGAAGATCAGCCCAGCAATACGGCTTTACGGTCATTGTGTTGGTTCAAATATTTTCAAAATGTTCCTTTCAATTCTTTTTTTTCTTTAACCATATTTGGCTAATTTTAATACAACGCAGACTTTGAAATCTTTATTTATCTTTGGGCCCACTGACAGTGAGCACATCTGACAAAAGTTTTTATGGCGTATTGATTGATATGTGTAGTTATTTCAGCCACTTACAATTGTATTTCTATTTCAGGGAATAAGAGCAGGCAGTATTGCATGCTAATGAAGGTCAGTTGTCTATTACATAGAGTTGCAAAAAAAACAACTTCTGATTCGCTATTGAAGGAAAAACAGTGAAATGTAGAGTATGAAAGTTGGCTCCAGTTACCAAGACAGGATGCCCCTTTTTCCAGCAACTCAGCACTTTTGATCCATCTAAACTCAGAAAACATACCCTTACCTTACATGGAAGAATATTTTACCAGGCCTTGGATATGAAATACTTAAGGCATTTGGCCTCGGCAGATAGCTTTGAGCCTGGTATTGGTAACCTTTAGGCAAAGATCCCAAAAAAAGCTCATTGCTGAAAGCTGATTACGATGTTATTTGCGATGGCAATCAGCACGGCCCAGTGAACACAGAAAACATGCTTTACTTGCTTAACCTTTGTGTAACCCCAAGTCCCCTTCAATTCAAGCTAATGGCAACCAGCGGCTGTGCTGCTGCAGTATCCTTGTAGTAAAAGTAATTTGTTAACAACATAGTTATGTACATGTTCCTGATGAAAAGTTGCATTTTGCGGTGACATCTGAGGAGGAAGGAGCTTTCCCATTTCTGTGAATTTACACACCGCAAATGTTCTGCAGATTTTGCGGACAATGATGTCACGTTGTGGCAGAGTAAGAGGGTGTGTAGCAGGAAAACCGCTGATGTGAGATGATTGTTGTTCTTGTAATACAGACTGGTAGCATTTGGTGACTGGAGTAAGATGTGGTGAGCTCTGCACCTTCCTGTTTACTTTCTGACCTTAAGGCTTGGGAAGATATTAAGGGCGTTGTGTCCACAGTGAATAGTGTGGTTTGAAAATGAATTCTGTGTTCAGAGAGAATCATAGACATGTTTACATACAGGATTTGCATTCTCACAAATATCATTAGTGTTTATTAGTTAGTTCTTTCGATGTCTTTGCAAGTCCCTTTTCCCAAAAAATCACAAGTGCTACAAAAGCTGTACGGATGAAGATGACAAAGAAGCCAAAAAGCCTGAGAAACCAGCACAACCTGCTCGGAAGTAATTTATGGCATCAAGGAATCAACTTGTGCTGTCGTGCAGATACATCACAATTTGAAACAGGCTAAGAAAGAGGGATAATAAGCTGATTTTCTATGGGCTGCAATCAATTGCCAGAGACATATGTGTCCCTAAATGTCATCTTATGGCTGATTGGACCACCCAGAGGTTGTGCATTAAAAGCCATGAGGTTTTCATTGAACAAGTTCCACAGTTGCCCCCCAAAGGCCGTTTCCCCGGCCCGACAACCCCATGGTACCAGATCCTGTGATCTGTGGCTGGGGTCCCCTTCTGCAAATTACTGCAATTGAAAAGAAGAAGCCGAGCAAAAAGAAACAAGGCGTCCAGGCTACTTCTCCCCAAAATTGTAATTCCCAGCTGTTAGCCTGCATTCCTTCTAACAAGGAACCAGATCTAGAACAAACAGTGTGATTACAGCAGACAACACCGGACATACACCGGAAATGTCCAGCATGGCCATGTGAGGATGGAGGGAGGGGGGGCTGCAAATTAATTGCCCATCACTTGTCAGTGGAGTGCAGAAAAACCGGCACTGTGAAACGGCCTCTCTCAGAAGCTGTCAGCCAAGGACAATGAATACATCCGAATTTCGTCCCAACCTCCTTTTCCGATTTAATAGAGAAAGACGTGGACCACAGACAGAGCTGAGAGAGAGACAGCGTACGGCAGCAATGTGGTCAGGTTGTAAACACACAGACATGAAGAAGAAGAACTAGATTACAAACAGGTTTGATCTCCTCTGGGCTGTCCAGCCCGGCTGACGGGGGAGGAGGGGAAAGGGATTTGTGTCTCCTCTTTATTCACTCCTCTCCCGTCAACCTCTCCTTTCTTGCCGGTAGCATTGTCATTTGGGATGTTCGGACACAACTGAGAGTTCGGCATTGAAAGAAACGTTACAATGAAGCAAGAGACAGACAAACACACCTGGAGGCTGAAGTCTTGGGAAACAGATGAGACCCACCAATTTGTGAGCAGCACAATTTTCGATGAAGCCATAACGTTCCCCACCTCCCTATCTTTCCCTTCTTCTAAAGATCATTATTTTAAAGGAACCAAAAGAGAAATTCCATTAAAACAAATCAATGTTAATTTATTATCATCAATTTTTCAAATGAGTGAGGCACTTGTTTCCAATTACAGCGAAATTGAAATTGTTATAATAATATCCTCTTTGTTAATTTCCTATTGGTCTCAGAATAACATGGATAAGGCAGATCAGGAGATAATGATGTGGGGCTTTTCTTCCTGGAATGAGGCCTAATGTGCAGATGACACGGTCTAAAGATGAAAAACCATCCTCATCAGCCAATTTAGACAGGACAAATAAAGGTCTACCATCGCTAGAAACTAATCATGTCCTTCACGTTTTATGTGTGACATCTAATATAATTTCCAGTTAGAAGGTAGAAGTCACTTCAAGAGTATTTGTACATCTGCAAATGTGACCAATCAGTAAAAAATCATCTCCTTAGAATGGATCCAACATGATTTAGTGGTGTAGTGTCCTTTAAAGGGATGGTTCACCACGAAATTAGTTTCCTCTTTCCTGTAATGCTATTTATCAGTCCAGACTGTTCCTTCCTAGAAGGAGACACAGCTGTTTGAGCATTGTTTGTTGGTTGAGGCCACTTGAGCTGATGGTCATATAGTCCTAACGTGTTTGAGAGAAAAGAATCTCTAAAAGTAGGCCGCCAAAGCCAAAACATAGATTGACAAATGGAACAAGAAAAGTTGTATTTTTGGCTTGAACCATATCTCTTTAATTGCATCCTTGATATTGACCATACAAGATAGACACAGACACATTTAAACCTGGAAAAGGTAAATTATGTACTGGTTCAGTAAGAAATAACCTTAGTGTGCTTACGTCATAGATGCGAATTATAATTAACTGCTAGCGATATTAGCACTTATTGGAATGTAGCAGCAGCTAATGTCACTGTGTGTTGTTAGCATGAAGTAACGTTGTCAGGTTGAAAGCTTACTCACCATGAGAAGCAATGGGATGAGGAGAGAGACAAATAACTTGACTGTACGTCCGACAGGAAGAAGACGGAACAATTCATCGACTCTACAAACGAGTTACATTGGAAGAACAGCTGTCATTTGTTACAAATATGTTTCTCCCCTAATGTAAATTATTTATTTCCACATACCACAATATCTCAGCAATCTTTAGTCATTTGTAGCGCTTATATTTAACAATCAGCTTTGTTTAGAATCAAACGGAAATATTATTATCCGACTTTTTATTGTTTAGAGTTAGCTGTGAAGCAATACAGTTCTGCAGAGATGATTTATTTTGTAAGCCAACCCATTAGTAGGAAGTCACTAAGCTAAGGGTTGACTATTTGTCAACATGACAACATTCAGCAGCTCTTTTTAAGCCTTTTTCTGTGAGCAAACGCCTTTTTAAAACCCTTAATGCTTCAAAGTGCACAACTGGGGTATTTACTGACTATGTTATGTTGAAACAAATCCTTAAAATCTCTTAGGTTTCATTGTTAACCGAAGCATATTTCAGTTTCAGTCATGAACAGTCATTGGAAAAATGCATCTACTTTCTGACCAGGCATCTGGAAGGGCCAAAATTCTAACTCACTTCTCAGTTTTAGGACTCATCCTTGATAACTTATTAATTACTCAATCCTCTTTTTTTATATTTTCTAACTGTTCAAATATTTAGTGATTACAGTTCACATACCACGTGCTTCACGTGTTGTTGTTCATAGTGAAGGCAAATC